AATGTAGACAGTATATCTTCTTTTTACTTTCTTTATTACTTTTTATTGTGGTCACCGGCTGGAGTAGCGCTGGGTATTTTTCAATGACATCTTATTTATTGTCATCTGGCAAAATACCTTGATCAGTACATTTGTGACCTAGAAAAGTCACTTCATGCATGAAGAATGTGGATTTTTCTGGATGTAGTTTAAGGTTGTTTTTCAGAACAACCGATGACGATTAAGTCATCCATATACAAGAATGCTTGTGAAGGGTCTAATCCAGAAAATGCTATTGTCATCATCCTTTGAATAGAATTTGGCGATATTTTTAATCCATATGGAAATCGTGCGAAACGATAAGAGCCATTGCTCGTTGAAAAAGACGTAATATTTCTATATTGTTCTTTTAGTTCTATATGTTGGAAACCGGACATTAAGTCCAAGCATGAAAAATATTTAGCTCTTCCTAATTGATCAAGAAAATCATCTATTCTTGCAACGGAAATTTGTCTGAGAGTAGTTTTTTATTTGTTTAACGATAGTCTATAACTAATCGCCATCTCTTGGTATCGGATCCCGGTAATCCCTTTTTTGGAACGAGAAGTATTGGGCTGTTATATTCCGATACAGGGGGTCTACAATTTTATCCGAGATGAGTTTTTCGACTTGTTTATTTACTTCTTCTTTATGAGTATGAGGAATTCTGTAATTTTTTATGTACACTGGCTCAGTATCTTTAAGTCTCAATTCTTGTTTATAAAAATTGTTAGTTGTTATTGATTCGGTTTCAAGACCGAATATGTCAGTATACTTGGTGCAGAGATCTCTTAGTATTTTTTTTAAATAATTGGGGAAAGTTCTTTTGTAATTTATCCATCACTATTTCCTGGCGATCTTTGCTTATTTCTTGGACTGTTTCATAGTCATAGAATTTGTTGTATGTAAAATTCGGTCATATGTTTGTTGATTATTGGAAATAGTATTTCCAATGAATATTCCTTTTTCAATTTCTTGATTCGGAATGAAAATATTGTTTTCTAGCGAAACAATATTGATTTAACCGACTACTTCAGATCGAGCTGGAAGTATTGTGGCATTATTATCACAAGTGTGAATTATTGGTAGTTTTATTGGATAATTTAAATTATTAGGCCGAAGTATTAGAGAATCACATGGTTGTGTGAAATCTAATTGGCAATTATATTTTTTAAAGAAACCTATACCAATAATGTAATCGCTAGGTATTGGAAAATCTTGTCCGACTATATGAAATTCGTGTGGAATGACATATTTTCCTGTAGATAATTCTACGAATACTAAACCTTTAGAAACTGCTGAACCTTCACCAATCCCAGATATTTGTGTTAATATGTTGAAAGATGTTGAATTTATATTTTCAAATATATCAACATTTTCTTTTAATAGAGATATGTCTGCACCAGTATCTAGCAATAGCGTAAATACTTTGCCCGTTTTTTCATTATTTATTTTAATAATAATACTGAGATTAGATTTACTGTGTGTACTTTTGTTTTTCTTTGTGAACATCTTAAAAGGCTTGCTGGATTTCCGAGCTAGCCTGAGTAACTCGAACATTGTTATTACTTTGATTATTGCCATTATTGTGGTTGTTGCCTCGGTTGGAAATTCCTGCCTCGGCTGTGACCACGGGCATTTCCTCTATGAGGTCCTCTGTTGTTGGTGTTATAGTTTTGGCAATTGGGTTATAATTACCCCGACCATTTAGGTCAACCTCTTTGGGTGTAATGGTGATTATTACCTCTACCTCTGCCTTTGTGATACAACACAGTACTGGCATTTCCGGTCATTTCAGTGCTGCAATGAATATATTCACCCATGACTTCATTAAAAGTGACGAAGTTTCCTGGTTCGAAGATAATGGCGGAGACTATAGTTTCATCTTGTACCTTGAACAAGATTGGGCCAGTTATCTTTGATTTGATAACTTCACCGGCCAAATCTTTTTGGTTGCCTTTTGTTCTCTCAACTATGCGTAGAGCTGTTAAGAACCGATTGAGTGCCAGTTTTTTACCGTCAAATTCAGGGATAGATGATGAAACTTGTTTCACATATTCCCTATCCAAGCATACTTGTTTTTTTTTTTTTTTTTTTTTTTTAACGCACGATTAATATTTGAAACAAATACAACACAATATTCTCTCTACTGTAACCACATTTTTATCGCAAAGATCTCACTGCAACGCTCGTGTGCGAGTGTTTTGCGATAAAAATATATCCCACTCGATTTCTGCTGACATACGAGCTCATTTGAGAGCATTGTGCGAGACTCTCGCTAAAGGCTCCCATTGTGGTCCGCTGGGTCTTAGGGCATACAGACATACGTACGTATATAAGTTGCGATGCGGCCACTATGGTAGCCACCCCACAGTTCATAATTGTAGTTATAGGATATAAGTATTATTAGTTTATACGAATGAATTGTATTAGATAGTAAATTGTATTAGCATAGTAAATTAAGCGCAAGGAGCCACGTAGCAAGCAAGGGCATAATTTTAGTTTGAATTTAACCGCCGGCCGCCGCAGCAACCGTGCGTTGTTGATCGGTTGCTTAACACCGTCTTCGGGAGTGCAACTTCAGTTCGGCGGCGAAGAGCGAAAGCTCCGAGGTGAAGTTGCGAAAGCTCGCGGCGAAGGTGAGCGATCGTGCCGGCACTTTTGGAGCGAACATCACAGTAAGTAGACGTGTGCAGCAGAAGGCAGAGAAAAAAAGGGAGACTTAGTGCGGCAGGGCTTTGACGTAGGGAAATCGTGACAGATAGCAAGTCATAAGTGAATATGAATAAAGGAAATTAGAAAGGAAAGTCAATTAATTCGTTTGTTTTCAATTAATACCAACTTCGGATCCCGAAGTTAACCAGTGTTCAACATAACCTCCTCTTCTTACCACCCGGTCGTATATGTGTGAATCACGACTTAGTTTGTCGATCGCGTGAACAATCCCGGTCGTGCATGTGTGAAGGGTTAGCTTATCAGGTCGTGGGTATGCATCTCCTTCCCCATCCTATGAAAGTAGAAGGAGTCATAGTTTGTTTGAAGCACTTCCTCTCCCCTCTAGACCCACCATCCCAGCAAACTAACAAATGTCTTGTAGATTGCTGGTCCTGGTAAAACTGAGAGTTGTACCCCGGCCAGTAGCTATCTTACAAGTGGCGCACGAGCAGGGACCTTGGAGGCGTTTAGGGGCGTGGCAAGTTTGCGGATTAAAGCCTCGCAAGTACGCCCAAATAAGTGTTTTCAAAAAAAAAATAGGGAAGTTGCATATAGGCTATTTTTAGTCGGGCATACCCTGGAGTATGTACGCTAGCAGAGGCGTAGGGAAAAGGGAGGCGTCACACGTGGGTGAAATTGCAAATCTACGGTATTAGGTAGTCAGGCATACCCCAACAACGGCACTTTCATACCCTGTGTCGGACGATAAAATGAACACCTGCAAGATATAGTCGACAAAATGTGTGCAAAATCAAGCACAAAAGGCAGACAACGGAAAGATGACAGGCGGCCGAAAAAAGTACAGCGCGTGCGACAGATGGGCGACATCGAACCCCGCTTGCACACGTGAGCACAAATGCGCGGCGCAGTCGACTTCGGCGTCGAAGGGCCGTTAAGGCGTCGTGGCAGCGGCTGTACAGTGAGACGAATTCACGCGCGGTGAAAAGTTGAATTCGTCAGTACAGGCGGCGAAAGCAATGAGAACGGGTGCCTTTAATAATAAATAAAACGAAAACGAATACAATACGCGTTAAGTCGACGGGGATTAGACAGAAGAGGCACAAAGACAGACACAAAGACACAATAATAAAAATAAAGGAGTGAAAAGTGGAATCTATCGGTGCATATATACTGTCGCGAGTATATAACCCTGCAGAAAAGGCAAAGGCGCACGTGAAATAAACAAACCTACGGAACAAAAATCGCCCACTGAGCAAGAGTGGACGAGAGAGAGAGAGAAGTCGAAGCAGGCACCTAGAGTGAGTAATAAAAATCAGAATGGGGTCAGGTGAGTGCCAAAATCCGGGCGTAGGCGAGCGCTGGATCCACCAGCGGCGCAAGGAGGAACTATTGGCGATCGCCCATGAGCTCGGGCTGGAAAAGGAAGGGAGCGTGGAGGAACTGCGTAAGAGGCTATCCATGTTCGTTCAGGATGGCGGCCATACATCCGAAATTTGGGCTCGGCTTGCCAAGTTAGAGTCTCAGTATGCCAAAACGTTGGAGCCGTTATCCTGGGTCGTCTCACCCGACGTTGGCGGACGGCCACGTCAGAAACCAGAGCCCGATCTGAGGAGCTCACAACTATACGAGCGTCCACAGCTTCCGATTCTTAGCCGTCACGGGTGTAAGGGACGCTCAGGAAGCTAGAAGAGACAGCTCCCGCCGAACAACAGCGACCGACGCAGAGATCATGTCGCCGAGTTGTGTTCCTCATCCTGCCCGGCCATATCCTCTGTCGAATGGGAGGCCCCTCGTAAACGTCCCAGAACAAGTCCGGAAGTGGGGCATGAAGTCTGATGGCCGCTCCGACCCCATTGGGTTCTTGGAGGACCTAGAGGAGCGGGCCATCACATATGGCGTTGCCCTCGAAATCCGGTCCCGTCGTCAGCGCGTGGGGGAGGAATTCAAAGAATACCCGATAGAGCTGAGGGCCCTAATGCACCACGCCATATACGAGCCGCCGCAGGAGTTGCATCGGATCTATGTGAATGCTGCTCCCTAATACAGGCTTTACGTGCGATGTCAAGATTTCTCCACCTTGTCCCAGCTGACCCAGCTGGCTGTGGAGTAAAGGGCAGAACACTCAGGAAGTAGATCAGGGAGTCAGGTGGTCACGAGTTCGAGTAGCACAGAGTGGGCGAGGACGATACAGCCCCCGGGGGGACACCTTAACCCATTTCGGTCTACTCCCATAGGATCCGGACCGGTGTGGATAAACCGGTCTCCACCCCGCCAGCAACGGCCCTGCGGAAGTTGCCCATCAGATGATGAGCCAAGAGGCCGGAAATAGGTACGATCCGCGACGATTATGTCGTAGGTGCGCACAGGAGGGGCACTTTGCCAGGGAATGTCCCAACCCACCCGTCTTGTTCTACTGGGTATGCGGGAACCGAGGTAGGAGTAGCCAGGATTGTTGTCGCCGCAAGGAGGCGGGAAACGGGCAACGGCGTCGTCAGGCCAGCAGCGGGTCAGCGCCGATACACAAGGGACCCGGACCCCCACTGAAGGTGGAAGGTGGTCGGGTCGTCGCTACGGTGGAGATTGGCGGGCAAACGATGCCTGCCACCATCGAACCCGGTGCCACTCGCAGCTCCATGAGTGAAGACTGCGTACGCAAGTGTGCGATCCGGGGAAGAACGGAGGACGTTCAGGGGCGCATTCGTCTGGCAGATGGGTCCACTCTAGAGGTAGGGAAGACATTAAGATTAGACGCCAGCCAAGCAGGAGAGATGATCAGTATGGTGATGCTCATCATGCCCTCGATGCTATACCACGTCATCCTAGGGATGGATTTCCTAGGTGCAATGGGCACTACCATACGCTGCGGCAAGGGGGAACTGGCTATAGATTCGTATCCGTGACGGCACCGTTCACGGAATCTGAGAAAAGGGAAAAGCCGAAAAAGGGGTCTCACGCGTCAGGAAGCGGGAGTGCCTGCTCGGCAGCCAGCGGAAAAGGATACCAAGAGGGAACCGAAGGAAGGCCTCCCAGGTCAAGAAAAGGGAGCACCTGCTCGGCAACCGATGGAAAAGGCCGAGAAAAAGGCAGCGAGAGAGGAGTCTCAGTCGGAATGGAGCTTCACCTGGAGACGGCGTGTTGCCTGGAGGAGGCGAGACGGAAGGGGAGTCCAACATCGAAGAGGCAGAGGCAGCTGATCTGGACCCGGAACTGAGGGAGTTCCTGGAGTCAGAACTGGCACTCTTCGAGGGGCTTCAGGGAGTCTCGCATATCGCGGAGCACAGGATCCGACTAAAGGATGACAAGCCGCTGAAGCAGAGGTATTACCCGAAAAATCCGGCCATGCAGAGGGTGATTGACGTGCAAGTGGATGAGCTGATCCAGGCAAATGCCATTGAGCCGTCGCGTAGTCCGCACAGCGCCACAATCGTCTTAGTCAAGGAGAAGACTGGCGAGTGGCGCATGTGCATCGACTACCGACAACTCAATGCGCATTCCATTCCGGATGCTTATCCTGTGCCCCGGTTTAACCACATCTTGGAACGGTTGCGTCACGCCCGGTTCATCTCTACTCTGGATTTGAAGCACGGGTACTGGCAGATACCGATGGCAGCCGATAGCTGGGAAAGCACGGCATTCACAGGTCCCGGGAGAGGTCTTTTCCAATGGCGGGTGATGCCATTTGGCTTGCATTCGGCGTGTGCAACCTTTCAGCGAGCCTTGGACACGGTAATAGGGCCGGAGATGGAGCCACATGCTTTCGCATACCTAGACGATATCGTGGTGATAGGGGCGACAAAGGAGCAACACGTAGAGAATTTGAGGGAGGTATTCCGCCGGTTAAGAGCGGCAAATCTCAGGCTGAATAGGAGGAAGTGCAGTTTCTTCAGGGAAAGGTTAGTCTATCTGGGGCATGTTATTTGTGGAGAAGGGATACGTACCGATCCGGAGAAAGTGGACGCGATACGTAACCTTACGGCCCCGACTAATTGTAAGGAGTTGCGGCAGTGTCTTGGGATGACTTCATGGTACCGGCGTTTTGTTCCCAAGTTCGCGACTCAGGTGCAGCTGCTAACGGTGCTCTTAAAGAAGGGACGGTGGCCGGATCGTCGGTACGGTGGAGATTGGCGGGCAAACGATGCCTGCCACCATCGGCACTGGAGCCACTCGCAGCTTCATGAGTGAAGATTGCGTACGCAAGTGGGCGATTCGGGGAAGATCGGAGGACGTTCAGGCGCACATTCGTCTGGCTGATGGGTCCACCCTAGAGGTAGGGAAAGCATTGAGATTAGACGTCAGCCTAGCGGGAAAGATGATCAGTATGGTGATGCTCATCATGTCCTCGATGCTAGACCATGTCATCCTAGGGATGGATTTCCTGGGTGCAATGGGCACTACCATACGCTGCGGCAATGGGGAACTGGTCCTAGAGACGGTAACGGCACCGGCCGCGGAACCGAAGACCAGGAGGGAACCGAACGAAGGCCTCCCAGTCATGAAAGGGGAGCACCTGCTCGGCATCAAAAAGGAGAGGATACCAAGAGGGAACCGACGGAAGGCCTCCCAGGTCAGGAAAAGCGAGCACCAGCTCGGCAACCGACGAAAAAGGACAAGAAAAGGGAAGCGAGAGAGGAGCCTCAATCTGGATTGGGCCGAGGGCTTAAGGGGCCCAAGAGGCGGCGTGTAGAGTTGCAGAGGCGGGTCTACGCCGGTCATGGAGGCGGCACGGCAGAAATGTGCCAGAGAACAGAGGGACCAGGAGTCATGGCTGGGATCACCTCGGACGCAGAGGATCGGGAGCAGTCGTCGGAGTGGAGCAATCGTGGGGTTTCACCTAGAGACGGAATGGTGCACGGAGGAGGCGAGGCACAGGGTGAGCCTATCATCGAAGAGGCAGAGTGGCCAGCGGATCTGCATCCGGAACTGAAGGATGGATTCCTGGAGTCAGAACTGGCACTCTTCGAGGGGCTTCAGGGAGTCTCGCATATCGCGGAGCACAGGATCCGACTGAAGGATGACAAGCCGCTGAAGCAGAGGTATTACCCGAAAAATCCGGCCATGCAGAGGGTGATTGACGAGCAAGTGGATGAGCTGATCCAGGCAAATGCCATTGAGCCGTCGCGTAGTCCGCACAGCGCCACAATCGTCTTAGTCAAGGAGAAGACTGGCGAGTGGCGCATGTGCATCGACTACCGACAACTCAATGCGCATTCCATTCCGGATGCTTATCCTGTGCCCCGGATTAACCACATCTTGGAACGGTTGCGTCACGCCCGGTTCATCTCCACTCTGGATTTGAAGCACGGGTACTGGCAGATACCGATGGCAGCCGATAGCCGGGAAAGCACGGCATTCACAGTCCCCGGGAGAGGTCTTTTCCAATGGCGGGTGATGCCATTTGGTTTGCATTCGGCGTGTGCAACCTTTCAGCGAGCCTTGGACACGGTAATAGGGCCGGAGATGGAGCCACATGCTTTCGCATACCTAGACGATATCGTGGTGATAGGGGCGACAAAGGAGCAACACGTAGAGAATTTGAGGGAGGTATTCCGCCGGTTAAGGGCGGCCAATCTCAGGCTGAATAGGAGGAAGTGCAGTTTCTTCAGGGAAAGGTTAGTCTATCTGGGGCATGTTATTTGTGGAGAAGGGATACGTACCGATCCGGAGAAAGTGGAGGCGATACGTAACCTTACGGCCCCGACTAATTGTAAGGAGTTGCGGCAGTGTCTTGGGATGGCTTCATGGTACCGGCGTTTTGTTCCCAAGTTCGCGACTCAGGTGCAACTGCCATCGGCGCTCTTAAAGAAGGGACGGAAATGGGCTAGAGGCGAAAAACAGGAGGAGGCATTGCGTCAATTGAAAGGCAGCTTGACGACTGCCCCGGTGTTGGCTTGTCCGGACTTTTCCGCCAAATTCGTTTTGCAGACTGACGCGAATGAGTATGGCCTCGGCGCAGTGCTGACGGTGACGATAGAGGGACAGGAGCAGGTGATAGCGTACGCGAGCCGGAAATTGCTAAAAGCCGAAGTGAACTATTCCGCCACCGAGAAAGAGTGCCTGGCAATTGTATGGTCGATCCGGAAGCTGCGTTGCTACCTGG